AAAATAGATTTTAATTCACTGAATTATTAAATGTTTAATTTATTATGCAAGCAAGAGAAACTGTCCACAAATAGTAAGTTACTGTACGGCTGTAAGTACAATATTTTCAGAGCAGTTCTGATACTTTCTATGCTGTATTAAAAGGCTACAATTTTTACTATGAAATCTCAGGTATTTCAAAATACTCTACATGCACAAATTGTTCTTGTATTAAAAACCTTATACTTAACTGAAGATACTTTAGTGCTTAAGAAAATGCACCTTTGACCAAGATGAGGAAACAAGAAGTTTGTTTTTCCTGCAGGACAAAAATATTATGGTCTGCTGACTTTCTCACTTTGCTCCAAGTTTTTAGGATCTTGTAAACTTATGAAAGCTTTCATTTGGCAAATGTATTTCTTTATTTTTAATAAAAGTCCACATATCCTAGAGCAACAGACCCATATTTTACAGTATCTGGACCTTCCTCACATCAGTGTTACCCAAATTTAACAAAAAAAAATAAATCAAAAAAAGAATTAAAAAATCACACCACCTACAAAGAAAAAAAAACACACCACCAAAATCAACCAGCCCCCCCCAAAAGAAAAAACCCCAAGAAAAACCTGATGTTTACATTCTAATTCTGGTAGTAGGCAACCAACTGTCCTTACCAAGACCCAAAGAGTGCAAACAAGTGTGTGTGTCCCTATCACTGTGCTTTTCCTCCTATCCCCAATAGCTCTGTTTGGAGGTTACATTTTTCCCTGAACTACACACATTTGACAAGTGGCTGTATATATACTGAAATACACACACACCTCATACAAAAAAGTACATATATACATGAATGTCATTGTATAGTCCTATGAATAGTTCCTTTCCCCCTCCCCTCACATCCGACAGTGCTGCAGTGATTTAACAACCGACTTCTAATTCATGGAATACTCAGAAAATGCATTTACTCCCACAGCAGACAGTCACTGGACTATTACAAAAGGATTACTAGCTTCAAACACTTGTTTGATTCCTGCAGACGCTGCTGGACGCTGAGATTCCTGCAGAGAACTAAACTGTGCAGCTCATCTGCTTCTGCTGATCAGCCATGCCGTGAGCGGAGGAATTCTTTTACTACAGAAGTTAATGAATATGAAACCATGCATTTAAAAAACATACTGCATGCTTTACAATCAGAGAGCTCTGTCTTCAGCAGAAATACTGTAAAGTTTACCAAGTGATCCAACACTTCCATGGTCAAAAGTCACCCAGTTTAAAGAAACCTCTGGTATAAACCCACCACCATGCTTGGCTGCTAAGTGCAGTCTCTCATCTATTGGTTTAAACACCTTCTTGTATTTGTTTCAGACAGTTTTATATAGCTCTGGAAGATTAAGAATTCACCTTTTGAAACATAACAGTAAGATAAATCTTTTTTGACTATCTAGAAATAATCCAAAGCTCACCAACAAATTACTTCATTAATTCAATAAGGCAAGGTATTACTATTGAAAGAGACAACTGGAAATCACTCCTTCCATCAAGATGCAACTGCAAGGCATATCAGTTATAAACTACTGCATACTGTTTCATAAGTGTTACGTGAACTTCACACGTAAAATAAATTTCACAGATTAACTTTCATTGGATATTTCCAAGTGTTGTTGAAAAGGAGTAATCAAATTACCAAAATCTAAGATTACCTATTTACTCTAATTCGAACTTATTACAAATGTCATCAGAAGAACTAGGTAACATTTCTACAGCACACATGGACAGAATCCATATCAAAATGCATCTGCTGGACATGTCAGGAAAGCACCAACGTGTCATCAAGCCCCTCACCCAGGCCAGCTTTAGAATCAAGAGCTGCCCCCTGCCCAGCAGCCCCTCTGCAAGCAGCTCTGGGTGCAGTGACATGTGTCACTCAGAAGTGACAGTTCTTTATGCAGAAGAGCCAGGGTCCAATGCTTCAGCACAATTCTCTCCTAAAAACCAACAATTCATGAGGTAGAATTAAAAAAGTAACACTCAGTGCATATTAACAGGCATAGAATTAAACTTACAAGCAATCTACCAGCTCAAGGAATTTATGACAGGAAAAACCAAAACCAGACAGACAGACTGACCATCAACTGCTTTGATTTCACAGGTGCTGCTTCTCCACAGCGAATACAGGTGAGAACAGTATTTAAGGTTTCTTCAGATCATTAACTGTAGTCCCTTTAATGATGTTTAAGGAAACACAAAATGAGAGAAGAGCAGCCTGGGGAGGGCGAGCGCTTGGGGACAGGTGAGAACTGCTTTGTTCATTTATTCCTAACAGGACACAACTCAGAGGGGCGGGCCAGGGAGAGCAGAGAATTAAGTGTGTTGATACATCCACACTGCATTCTCCTTCAGAACATGTCAGGAACAGCAAACCTGGCACTTCTGCTGGATGACCATCAAGAACAGTGCTCAGCTTTGCCCCACACTTGGTTTGGTTTGGGTTTCTCCCCCCGCCCCCGCCTTGGCCAATTAGAAACTCCTTGTAGCTTAGCTCTTCATTTGCATAAAAATCTCATCTTCCCTGCACACTTCACTTCTTGTGAAGTTTCCTGCACACTTCACTTCTATTGCTTGAAATCACAGAGCAGGGAAGTCCCCCAGGGCTGCTTCTACCAACCCAGGAAATCCAGCCTGTCCCCGAGGCTCAGGGTCACCAGCTGCCCCACAAGGAGCTGGGAGCACATGAAGTGATGCACTTCTAACTGGTCCCAGTGACACTTGCATATTTTATTTTTTCAGTCACTATGCCCCATTTTTCATGGTTTAGTCAATTAACTCAAGTGAAAAAATACCTTTTTATGGATTGTGTTCCTAGTTCATGGTTCCAAAGGCATTCAGAAGTATCTGAAAGAGCATTTGAACTTCAGAGTCAGCCCCCTTTGGAAAGTAGGGCCTCTCTCTTAATTTGACTTTCCCAGTCAACTTCTGACTTTGAGACAATGGTTTCAGCATCAATGAAACTGCTCAGATGTGCCACAGAACATTTCAACCTGTGAGATGCTATCTGAGAAGCCTATGGGCATTTATTTGCATTTTAAGTTTACTGAGTATATTTACTTTTTAAATCATTCCTACTCCTCCAGCTGGGACAATATTCTGAGACACCATCACCAAATAATTCTGTTAAAAACCCACAAAAATAGGAAGTTTAGGGCTGTTACCCAAGAGGGGAAGTCTGTCAGCTGCAGGTACTCAGACTACCAGAATGCAGTCCTTTAGCAGTCAGTTGCTAGAGATGATGAAAATTCAGTGCAGGAGTAATTAACTAGTTCTCAGATTACCAAACACCCAGTATTGAAGGCTTTGTATTAGGAAATAAGTTATGCAAGAGAGAATTTGGTTTTTTCCTCACAATGCAGAGAAGCTTAAAAAGTTTCAATAACTTCTCCACCATGACCCAGACTATGCTACAGACACAAATTCCAACCTACAAGAGGATCACCAGGCTTATGTTTTTCCAGCCATGTTATGGTTTTCCACCTCATCTTCATAAGGTGTCTCCTTTTCCCCAGACACATATTTTGCAACAGGCTCTATGAGACTCAGCTGTTAAAAAAAGCACACACCGTTGCACTGGAGATGGTAAATCTGAACACCAAAACATGACAGTCCTATTTAGGTAAAGTTTCCTG